TAAGCCCTGTGTCACAGTGGATGAATTTCAGGAATCTCTCTTGTATTTCACCAAACTTGTCAACATATCTAAGGATAACTGGCATTTGTTCCTTGTTTGAGCAATCTCTTACCTCATCAGCAAGAATAGAGAAAAATTTTGCCTCCTTTATCTCATTGATGATCTGCTCATTAATTATGTCTCCACAACAATAGATGACTTCATTTTGAATTGTCTTGGACCTGTAGGTTGCATTCCTGGGTGCATTTTCGAAATGCTCTTTTAATACCTTATCCCCGCTGTCAACACGAAAATCTAATAGGGCTTGAAAATTACCACAGTTGTTTGACCCGTAATCTTTTGAATCATCCCTATGTCCCCGCAAAGCAAAATTCTGTCTACCCATTAAAATAACTGTTTGAACTATAGGAACTAGTTTTTCTCTGTTTTTTGTTACTGTTTGATTTAGAACTTGGTTTTGTAATTGATTTATTGATGTAATTTCATTTTCCATGACAGAGACAAATGTTTGCATTGTTTCCAGTGCAGTTTTATGAATGTCTGATTTGCATTGGTGATCATTGAACCTTCTAACAGCAGCTGACCAGTCAGTAAGAGGGCTTTTCATGAGCTTATCCAATTTAGTGGAATTTAACCCAATGCGCCTACCAAACAAGACACAAGGAACACAGAAAGCACCATCCAAAACACCAGAATAAGCAAGCCATGGAAATTTCTGGAGCCAAGAAGAATTAAATTTCCTAGATTTCCCATAAAAGCAACGGACTGGATATTCATATCTACTGCCAGGTTTCCAAACATTTTTCATAAGATCATGTATCTCAGAATCTGATAGTTTGGGAACCTTTTTGTAGAAGTTACCAATATCATTTGGATTTGAAGAGAATAATTGACAATCTGACAAATCATCTATCTCTGGAACATAAGGTTGATCTGATACATCTTTTACTGCATCTGAATCAAGTTTGGGAATTTTTTTGGCAACAGGAAAGGAAAGAGTTGTCTGTTTTCTTTTTGCTGTTGTTGGCAAAGACTGCTTTTGCAATGCTATATTTTCTTTTTCAATCATTGGTTGAACTGTATCATTCCAAATGAATAGGGGAACAACATGGTTAGGTACATATGATCTTGTAAATATATCTGAATCATCAAGCCTTGTCCAGAGAACTCTAATGGGAGCTGTTGAAGAGTTGGATGTGCTTTGACGTGGTTTTATATTGGAGTTTAAGAGGCGTTGTGCATATTTGCCAAACCCAGCAGTAACAGGATAAAAAGAATGTATTTCTAAACCCAAAACACTTGACAAAGCCATCAAAGAGACAAAAGGACACCATCTGTTATTCTGACAGTTTTTAAGGGCTTCAAATTTTATACAGTCAGCATAAGTATTCTTATTATTTTCAAGAAGATCAGTGGCTTCAAAGGTATTTGCAGCATGAAAAAAGCTTCCAAGAAGGCTAGGTTTTTTTTCAGTAGATAGAAGATCTTCAAATAGTGGGTGGGATGCATAAAAATTTGCATGCAAAAATAATTCAATTGAAGTGAGAGCTCTAAGCATCATTGCATGGTTTTCATTGCCACTAATGGCTAAGAAAACTGAGTTGTAAACACAGTTGCCATCAGCAATAGTCCTGGTAAAAGAAAAAGGCCATTTGTAATTTTCAAGCTACCAAAACTGGCTATCATCTTGATGCAAGAAGCTCTAACAAAAATTTGCAAATTCACTTTTATGGAGAACATATTTAATAACAAACGGATCGTCTACCACCCCTGTACCTCAGTATTATAGATGGCGTGGCAACTCATCCCACCTTTTTGGCCCCACTTATCAAAAAGAGCATGAGCTGATATTATTGAAAAGGCATTCCAAATGTGACACACAATGTAACTGGTTTATAACTCTTTGGACCAAACATTCTATATCAAGCCCTGCGTGCCCCCTCCACATTTTTGCAAAACAATAATTTGCATAAATTTTCCTTTGACCTACCCCCCCCCCCCCCACTTATCAACATGTGTCAGAGCCCATGTACATTTAAAATTAGTTAAAACTTGTCAAAATTTCTACAGTAAAAATTAAAGAATAGATAAATGTACCTTGCAGCGAAAACTTTGGCCCCATTAGTTACCCCCAAACGGGGGTCATTCCTAGGTATGTGCAGGCCCGTCCGTTTGTCCTCAAACGGTTTGAGCCCAGCTTGCCGGAGACTTGAAATTGCAGCCACTTTCTCTAGCTTAGTAAGCTCGTTGTTATTTATTAGCTCCAATTCATCATACTTCTCCTCACCGATAAATCTTTTTACATTATGTAACAAATCCATCTCAAGTACAATTTGTTCACACGATACAGTTGACACAATCGGCGCGAGGGGTGCGAGACTGTACAAAAAGTTCTAATTCTGAATAGATCGAATCCTCGAATAACCCAGGACTGGATTTTGGGCTAGTGCGACCTTACTAAAAATCATATTGTGCACCGAAGTTCGCACAATCTAGCGCTATGATTGGCTAAGAAATTTTAAACAAAAGTTGTGCGAATTGGTGCGATCGTGCTACTAAACATACTGTGCACCGAAAAGCCCTAATCTAACCACATTAGTCCCCTGTTATTATTAAATCAGGATCCTAAAAGATTAGACAGTATCGCATTCTAGATTTTTCTCGGGTATGACTCGATCTCTTGGATTTACTTATCTTCAGAAATTTTTGATTGGCTCCTCCGTGGTGCCAAGATTTTATTTGCGATTGCGTCTGATCTAAAGAGAATCAAGGGCCAAAGTCGGGGAAGGAAAAGCCAAGAAAAATATCTCCTTTGAGAAATGCTAAAAACACTGACGCAAAACATCCGTTAAGAAGTTGACTGTCGCATGTGCGAACGGTGCGAACGTCTAAATCCGCCCCTGCCGTGGATGGTTACAAACTATCGGTGGACAGTTACCAACTATCCATGGACGGTTGCCAACTATCCGTGGACGGTTGCAAACTATCCGTGGACGGTTGCAAACTATCCGTGGACGGTTACCAACTATCCTTGGGCGGTTACCAACTATCCGTGGATGGTTCAGAACTATCCGTGGACGGTTACCAACTATCCATGGATGGTTACAAACTATCAGTGGACGGTTGCAAACTATCCGCGGACGGTTGCCAACTATCCCTGGACGGTTACAAACTATCCGTGGACGGTTACCAACTATCCCTGGACAGTTGCCAACTATCTGTGGACGGTTGCAAACTATCTGTGGACGGTTACAAACTATCCGTGGACGGTTACCAGGGGGGGTATGAAGCTAGGTAGCGCATGCGCATTCCATCGTAGCCATCAGAAAGCCGTTCATTGCAGTATCGTTGTTGCTCAGCTGGCGTGCGGACCTCTCCTGGCCTAGGCATCAAAAACATGAATTGTTCAAACACCAAAAACAGGGTTCTGTACTAGGATGGTTGTCAACAATAGTTGGTAGTAGCAACGAGGAATATTCTTCAGAGCACTGGTTAACTTGTCTCTGCTTAGCGACAAACGAAATCATGCAGAGAAGATACTTGTTATCTCAAGAAATACCGATCATTTGAAAAACCTTACATCCAAAAAGGCGTCAGAACAATGGTTTAAGGATAGAGGTTCCCTGGATCCAGTCGCTATAACATCTGTATGGATGCTGCTTATCATTGCGATCAACTTCGAAGCAAAGATTATTGCAAGCGTAGGGCATTTACACCAATTCAAATTCAAATTCTTGGGACCTCGCGGATAGACGAGAACGCTAAACTAATGAGTTTGACAAACAGAGAACTTAAAAAACAATATATCATTTACCTCTGAACTGATTATATATAGCTTTTAGATCTCATTGCCAAACTGTATATAATGTATACATGTACAGCAGAGCACAGAAGCCCAAATTTGACAGAAGATACAAAAATTGCTCAATGAGCAAGAAATATCAAATTCATTTGTTATTCTTGAAGATTTAACCCCTTGTACCTTGATTGATTTAGGCCTTACATTCTGTTTTATAGGAGCCAGGAAATTGAGGTTAAGGCTGGCTTTTCTTATTTTGAAAACTTTGTTCTTACTTTTAACTGGCTTTGAGGCTCATGTTTATAAAATTGTTCTTTTAGAAAGAGTTACAGTGAAAGAAATAAACAACTAAACTAACCAAGAAGCCAAAATCAATTTTATTATGATTATAATTCCTATCTATTGAACTTTTTCTTCCTCGTGTTTGTCTATGTTTTTTTGCATATGACTAAGGTTTTTTCAAACATAAAAAGATCAGATTTAAAATTCTTTTCACTCTGTCTCAAAACCTGTTAAGATCACTTAAATAGTTAAAGGACCTGGATTGAGAAAGAGATTTTAAAGGAAGTTCCCCAAGTGAAAGTCTTTATTGACCAATGTTACTTTGTTAAATCCCCTTTCCCGATGTATAAAAAACCATAATATATACATGGGACATTTTACTAACCTTTAGTCTAATCCCTTCATGCAAGATAAGCACACCAAAATTTGTGTAATATGGTAGAAAATCATTGACAATTCCATAAAACGATTCAGAAACATAGAGGTTTACAGACAATTGTTGTTTTCCTTGTTATTTTTTATGGTTTGGTTTATTGAAAATATGCTGAATTGGGTCTTAATGGCACCAAAAGGTATATGATTATCAGAAGTACCTAGTACTTCTTTCCTGAAATTGATGTTTTCTGAATAAAGGTGATATTTTTCTTTTGCAATATTGAGATTCTTGATGTGATCCAGCCTTTTCAATTAATGAAAAATATCTTTTCATAATATTGCACATTTCCAACTAAATTTGATCATATGAAATTTTTGCAATTTCTTCATATCAAGTATGTCAAAATAAGTCCACAAAAAAAATTTCACAGTCCTAGCAAAAGCAATTCCATACTGTGAAAAAAAGATGGTTTAATATAAGTAAACTTTGAATCTATTGATTCTAATCTTTATAGGGAGATAACTGTGATACATACACATTAACACTGGAAGACATTCCATCAATCAAAAATCAACAGTAGGAATACATGTATCTACACTTATGACATTAACATAAATTGAAAACTTTCATATTTTATTAGTTGCATTTTGTTCTGTTTATAATAAAGTGATTTGCATATTATTTGAAAAGAAGTATATATATGCTTCATGATAAAAGTTTTATTTGCATAATAGTTAGCAAAGCAATTCTCCAACATCTCAGACATAGGCAAACTTGACACTTGCTGCAATATATCTTTGAATATCCATTAGCACAATGACATCAACATCCATGTTTCTTCTCTGCTGTCTGAGGCCAGTGAGCAATTACATCAAACAGTGTATCACTGCAAGGCATAGGTATAATAGGAGTTCGACCAGCTTTTTCTAATTATATAAGTTGTTTTCTCTAAGTAGTTTTTGTTAGGTCTGCCTGGTCTGGAGGGTCTTGCTTGCTGGACATGCTTTATCTGCTGTGATGAGTGCTTCTGAAATGGGTTTTCAACGTAGCAAAGGAAATTCTCTCCTTTTTTAGAGTGCCTGTGTTTTTCACATGTCTTGATTCATTTTGCACCATTAGGATATATATTCATTTGTGCCCCAGGCCTTCAAAGAAAAATATTTGTGTGGTGAAAATTCGCAAACAGCTAGAAACTAGCTATGGTCATTGCAGGCAAAAACCATCCTTGTGCAAAATGCAGAATTCTTAAAAGTTCCAGCTGAACTCATACCTCCCCCCCTCCTTCAACTGCAAAATTGCTTTAACTGGGACAGAAAATATTTTTGGATGACCCCTAAACTTGCATTTAACTTTATGTGTGCAAGTTTACAAACTGGTAGGAGAGTTTTAGCCTAAATTCTAGATTTACTTAACACTAGCACTCAGTATTATGTCTCCATAGAAAATAAAACACGTTTTAGGCAAATAAGTGTAATACCAATATTGAAAGACAACTTTAACTTAACATTCCTACATGCAACATATGTAAACATTCGGAATTTTAAATGGCGGGTTCGTTAAACCCCGCCAAAATTTACAATTTTTAAAAGGTCATTTCACCCATTAGCTGTGGGGACCAATTGGGACTAATAGAAATTTTAACATCATCAGACTTGTATTGACCTAATCTACACATAAAATGAATCTGTCCCCACAAAAGAAAGGAAATACACGGCCCAAGAAAACATGCATTTGGCCAAATTCGTAAGATGGGCCTAAACCATATGGGGATTACAACTCAATTTTGGGCATTTTAAGTGGTTTCAAAGCCGTAAATATGAAATTAGGTAATACTGAGAGATAAAACTAGAGGTTTCTACAAACTCTGAAAACTTTGATGAAAAACTTGGATGAGCACTTACCGTTTGAAATTGTACCGCAAATTTCGCAAATGTCGGCCATGAGCTTCTTTAGGAAAAACATCGAAATGCGCATGCGCCGCCTAGCTTCGCACCTCCTCTGCATCAGAACAGTGCATCTTCATTCGAAAGTATTATGACGTAAGAAAACACCCGGATTTGGGGCTATGGACCTGTCAGTCAAAGAGATCATTGTGAAACAAGGAGGTTTCCTGCTGCGAAAGTCAAATTGTTCATTGAGCAAACAAAAGGAACCAAATTCCTGTGGTACCGTTGAACGTATAAGTAACTTAATACGCGATGAGGATTTCATATCTCATGCGTTTAACAAAAAGGATTTGTAAATCAGGTATTTAATACCAGAAAAATATTTATTGGCAGAATAGCAGAGCAATTTTAACACAAGCAACAATGACTCTAAATACGATGTTTATTGTCATCGTTTCAGCGACTTGTCTGCATGGCTCTCCGCTTCAACCACCAACAAACATTGATCAAAGTGGACTGGTGAGTTGTGCGTGTGTTTAGTAAACAATTTAATTTATCATCAGCTGGTTGTTTTTGTGTGTACCAACTATCCTAATGGCTGCGTCCACTCAAGGAACATCTTTGATTGACGATAGTGTGTTGTTATACAAAGACAGATCAAATTGTCGTTTTTGGTATGATACAAGGTTTTTCAGATTGCCACCACTCACCCTCGGATAATAAGGGGTGCAAGTGCTGGGTTTCGGCGCGTGTCTCTGTTTTAATATACCCTCGGTGTTTACTTCGCCAAGTTGAAAGATTTCTTGCTTACTTCCTCGTTCTCATCAGCGTGGTGCTGCTGGTCAGTAAATTCTGGCTAGGATTTCAATAGCCAAATGACTTTAATCCATGAATAAAACATTGATTTATTGCGGGGAGAAGCTGCCAAGACATACTAATCTCAATGACCGAAATTTTAATATGTTTTTGATAGAAAGCTTGGCCTCTCTTGCCATGACGTCACCTCGTATCTATTCTGTGTTCTGATTACGCACACTCAATGATGCGTGATGATAATCTATGAACAATATGACAAATATGTTTGAATAAATGTCTACCATGAGACCTTGATTTGTGAAAACATTATTTTCAATCAATGAAAAATTCTTTTTAAAAGTGGCCACTTCCATGCTTATGTGCTTTGTTCACAATTGTTCCTACGAGCTTTATTGACAACACTTCCGTGTCTGCAGAATCAGATTCAGACTCGCGTTCGCGAGTAAGTTGAAGTTAAGACACAGGGCCTAGTCTTCTCAAATATAACTGGCAACAGAATCTAATTCCTATTACAGATATCACCATACTAGTAGCTACTATTTACAACAAAAATCAGTTGAATATTTTTTCTCGTTTTTCTGAAAAACGGGGTTTATACCGAGCTGCTCTACGTAAAGGGGAAAAATTGATCGACGCTCTAAAAATAAAACGAGAAAAAATATTCAACTGGATCCACAACTGGGTATTTATATTTCCTAGCGTAGAGTTTTCGGTCTATGTTCTGACGTTTTGAACTCTGAAAAGTGTCAGACGAAAAGCTTTAGTTTACTAAATGTTTGCTTTTTTTAAAGCCATATTCGATTATTCTGACGTCACGAATTCATTCAATGCAGTTGTGTTGTCGTCGTAACCCTACTTCCCTGCCATTGTAGGCCCCTTGCGGGAGATATTTGCGATTCATATTCAGTGTTCACCCTCTATGCGCTTCAAACCCCAGTACACAAATAATTTTTGGTCCCCCTAGTGTCTTTGAAGGGCAGATTTATGTGTGATCCTTCATGAGATGTTTGAGTAGTTTTATTTGATTAAATAACTATTTTGTTACGTTACAGAACTACCTCGCAAAGTATGGTTACGTAGTGCGTCCTGACCCACGAAGGGGTTCGATCCTAGACGAAAAGAAGATAGCAGAGGGGCTGAAAGCTTTTCAAAGGATGGGAGGACTACCTGAAACGGGCGTATTGAATGAAGAGACGAAAAAAATTATGCAATCACCGCGCTGTGGAATGGCCGACTTTGCCCCAACCGATAACGTCAAAAGAAAGAGAAGATACAAGAAGCAGGGCAAAATTTGGAATAAAAGAGTATGTTAAATACTTTTAAATATTTCGTGGGGGTATATTTGGTGGGGCAGTTTAAGCGTTTGATTCAGCATGAAGAATCAGCTTTGTTTCAGCATGTTGGGCGATGTGTCACTCTAAGATTCCCACTCTAACATAGTCAGACAGAAAGTGCAGCTGCTTTCAAAAGAAAGGTTTTAATGTCTCTTTTATCCACTCTCGATTTATGAACATGCCAACCCCTGTTAATCTTTATAAATATTAGGTTGGCAACCTTAATTTCAATGAGGTGTTGCTTGTCTACGAGCGTCTTTCTATCCAGCTCTTCAAATGATATTCTCCAGTTGGGGGCAAAATAAGCATTCAGATAAAAACATATTTTCATATATATATTTATATTTATATATATATAAAATATTTCCCCTTTCGTTGTAAATATCATTTCCAATGTGTCAGTCTCTACACATCTTCTAAAAACATATTGTTACAGATTGGTTTAATAACTGGGCTGGTTTTTCTAGAAGAAAAAAGGACTCTTTCTCTGGTCCATTCTTGCTCTCAACCTTTTTTATGCACAACTGTTAAATAAAATTACCCGCGAGGCATTAATCTGCGGGTTGATGAGTTTTGCACTGGCCAATACATAGTTATAAATTCTTCTCTCAATACATAGGCAAGACTAATTAGAGGTCAATATTATCATAATATTCCCACGTGTAGGTCGACTGTAGGCACCATCGTCATGAAATAAACATCCAAATAAACAATAAACAACCTTTACCTGCACTAGTGTTTGCTCGAATGAGCTGCCTTCTCACGATCACATGCTATGACGTCACCATAAGAAATAGGACCTTGTGTTTTGGTTAAATTAGTGGCATTCTATTTTAGAATCTAACGTGGGCAATTGCCAACAGCAACAACGACAATATCAAGGACGAAGATGTCAAAGAAATGGTAATAAAAGCCTTTAAGAAATGGTCATCAGTAACCAATATCAACTTCGAAGAAGACAAAAGTAAACCTGATATATTATTAAAATTTACCAGAAAATATCACGACGATTCATACCCATTTGACGGAATGGGCGGCGAATTAGCCCATGCATTTTATCCGGACGGTGGAGACGGTGAGCTATTGTAATAATTATACTAAAATATTTGAATAATTACGTTTATTTCGTGTGGATGTAGACTATAGAGGATCGCTAGAACAAGGACCGAGATACTTTGCCCAAAACTTAAGTACCATGAATAAAATACTTTAATTTTGTAAATTATGGCTGTTTTTACACTTATTTATCAGGGCTGCCCCCCCCCCCAACATAAAGTTGTATCTCAGTCATTTCTAGAAGAAAACTTAATTGATCAACATTACTAATCTATTTTTTTCAAGAATTCACATCTCACAGAAATTGAACTTTAAACCGAACATCTAAAATTGAAGCTTCCTTTGTTAACCCATAGCTAACTGATTTTGCAATGAACGTCTTTTAAGCATTGTTGATTTTACTAGACCCAATTATCAGAAAGATATACCACTTACTGTGCGAGATTTGATAAATCTGTTACAGATTCAATAAGATATGGCTTTATAAACGAGGGCAGTTCACTCTTGAAAACATCGTACAATTTCCTCACCAAAACAAAAGGATTTCCAGAGATTTCTAGATAAGATAAAGGATTTTCACGGAGTGATTTGAGTGATTTGCCCCTCATAATTGAGCTAACTGTCAACAGATTCGACTGAGTTTGCACGCTTAGAAGTGTATTATTGTGTTACTTCAGGTTATGTGGTCTAAATTTAAAAATCCCGAAGATAATATTTGTATGACGTCATCATTTAGAAACTCTGTAGCCGTGAAAATGAAGTCAGGGTAAAAATTCATTAAAATTCGGAAACACACTATAGCAAAGCTATTAGTTATCAATGATGCTTTATTTTGCAGATCTTACAGGAGATGTTCATTTTGATGATGACGAAATATTCAGTATTAAATCTTCAAAAGGAAGAGATCTGTTATGGATCACAGTCCATGAAGTTGGTCACAGTCTTGGGCTGGATCACTCAGGAACGAAGGGAGCAGTAATGCATGCCCTCTATAAAGCTACTAATGGGCTTGATTTTAACCTCCATATTGATGACATACAAGGTGCCCAATCACTTTATGGTTAGTATTGCCTTTGCATAAGCATCTCTTTGCATGGAATGTAGAGAGCGCTAAATTTCCCTAGCACAGTCGACAACTGTTCTTAATTTTAGATTAGATAGGTTTGAAGTCAGTGGTGGCGTCTGCTACTGCAGAGTTGGAGGAAAATGGGTGTGATCCTTTAGTCAAAGCCCATTTAATCTCATTTCAGTGCTTTGATCAGGTCCATCTTATTTAGGAAAATCTTTAAAAATCTGACCTACACCTATAAGTACAGTCAACAGAGTTACCAGACAAGCTACTTTCTCTAAGCCCTAAACTAACCTCTATAACCTGTTAAGGGAAAAGTCAAATCAATTCCTATTCAATGCATTGAGCTACACTCTTACTATGTTACGTACTATGTACCCAGAAGGCTGTATGACAATATTAACCTTACGTTTTAATAGAAAATTCTTTCAAACGTGTTGAGAAGGATACCTATTTTATTTTTCTCTCTGTTTCTCACTAATCTATTCCTCGCTAATCTGAAGTCCTATATTCTCGCGAATTTAATCCTCTCCGTTATTCCTTTCTATTCCTCTCTATTCCTCTCTATTCGTACATACTTTTTTCTCTGGCTCATCTTTTTTATTCCGAAATTACAGTGATTTGTTAAGAAGTAGGTAGTTCTACTTTGGCCTATGACAACCTTAGGTGCAGATTGCAGGACAACGATTTTGTGATTTTCATCTTGCTTGATCATATTTGTTTTGAATTAGGAGTAAGAGACCAACCGGCAACAGCTAGTCCGCCGCCTGTTTCTGAAAAGAGAAGCAAGATTCCTGGAACTCAACTGCGGTTGTGCTTAAATAGGGCCAAAGCTACAGTAATGACGGTCAACAAAGACATGTACATTGTCAACGACGACAAATCGTACATTCTCGACCGTTACTTGAGGAGCAAAAAAGGCCCCATTCCGACGTCAGAATTATTCGGTGGACTCAAAAGAATCGATGCATTATTTAAACGACAATGGGATCACAAACTTGTTGCATTTAGTGGAAATAAGTATGTTTGTTAGCTTCATAATTTGTTTCTAGTTATTTTTAAAATTCAGAACCATATGAAGTCATTGTTGTTTTGGGAACGTTTGAGCATGGATACGATTGATAACATCGGATTCAACAGCTACAATGCAGCATTGCATTGCGTAAGTCAATACAATACAGCAAACAATAATCCACCGGGGCCATATGCCTGAACTAAGTAATGATTATTACAGCTTAATAGCTATTTCAACATTCCTTTTCACCCCTAACTTTAAGCCTGAAAATTCCAATGCTTGCTTGCAATTGAAAATATTAATCTATGCTTATGCCATCGGCCTTGTAAATGGGATCTGCCCTCAGACAAGTCGTTCTTTATTTACCTTTGTTTGGAAAAGTTTTTGGACGAATGTACTGCATTGTGTGAACTTTCTTAGATTGCCTTAAAAGATATGCAGTTTTGTGGTCTATAGTTCATTGAAGTATTATGCTGTCATAGGCCAATGACGTGGATACCTTTCTCAGCGAATCAAGATATAAATAGACACTTTAGAGTTCGCTCCAAGAGTATTGATTCAAGTTATCCATCTCTCAGCCTTCAGTCGTGGAAGTAGCATTGTCAGTTTTTTGGTTGTAGGGCAAGGATTATTGTTGGGTGGCTCTTTTAATCATCATTGTTATGATACACAATGTTTTATCTTGGCCGTGATTAAATGTGATTACATTTGTCCTTTTAGGTATTACGTATTTGAGGATACAAAGCTTGTTGGTGGTCCTTATTATATCAGTGATGGCTTTAAAGGTCTACCAGCAAATTTCGCTGACGTAAAAGCAGCGTTTGTTTGGCCAGGGAATAATCAGCTATACATATTCAAAGATGCGCAGTATTGGAGGTTCAGTCGTATCCAAAGCCAAGACAAATATAGATTGGACTTTTATTATCCTAGAAAAACGCGCAATGCTTGGAGAGGCGTTCCAGAAGATTTTGATAGCGTCCTTGCTTGGAGGTATGATAAGGTCTATTTCTTCAAAGGAGATCGCTACTATAGATTCAACAATAGACGATTCAGGGTCGAGTATGGGTACCCAAGGAGTGTTTGGGAAGACTGGAGTGGGTGCCCTTCACAGTTAGCTGTAACAGGAGCCGCAGAGACCAGGACTGTAAAATCATCGCTTGTGCTTATTTTGCCGTTATTATATTTTATTTTGCATTAAATACGCGTGAAGTCATTAGAATATTGATATGTAATTGGACATGTACATTTGTGTTGTTATCGGTTGTTAGGCTTTTATATGAAATATGTATTTAAATTTTATCAAAGTAAATGTGAAATTTTATCAAATTGACAAACATTTTGTAAATATAGTTGATGTTTTTGTTAGGTTGGGTATTTAGAGATAAGTATCAGAAATTATTTGCAGCATTGTTGGAAACATATCCGAGCATATTATGAAGAAATATTTAAGGTTTAGCTTGTCTTTCTTTCTATCTAATTACTTGACAGAGAAGGGATCAAATTAAAAAAATGCTAAAACAACCAGTGCAATAGTTTTTTTAAAACATGCCAAATATGCTTGTATCTGAAATAAATTGAAGATACTTTTAACTGCAATCGTTGCCATGTGCTAGTATTGGTTCGACTGGCTAATTTGCTGTCTTTTTGAAAATGTTTTTCCATCACATGCAATCTGTATCACATCACATGCATGCAACCCGTATTCGTTAGCAAATTTTATCCGTTCAAGTTTTCTAAAGTCCTTGGATATTTGAAGCTATAGAATTTTTGACATTTTTGCATTGAAAACTGCAAGTTAAGAACATTGTGAAGTGTCTGAAGAGGATATGCTTTTTTAATGCAGCAATTCAACTTACAGTCTAACTTTGAAAAAAATTTCAAATTTCCTTGTACAAAATATTTGACCTCAGTTTCAGATTGAGAGCCAGAATTCTAGTCTACTAGCAAAGTTTTCATTATGACGGCAAACTGACAACAGTTTTAAAAGGATTTGACCGTGATTGGCGATTAAGGGGGTAAAGATTAATCCGGAACGATTTTTGCGGGTCAAATCCGTTACAAATTTCAATCTTCATTACTCCGTAAAATACATGCACGAACAAATGAGAAATTGTATCCGGACTAAAAATATGGTGATAAATCCAAATCGGAGCTTGAAAAGTTATACAATGATGGAGAAACTTCAAAAACGAGGCCGTAAGTTGAAATGGTTCATTAAGATATGAGCCCGAATTTTCCACGTACGTTCTCAGACCCTGCTGTGTTATGAAAACTAACAACGCAACATTTTTGCAACATTCAGCAATTGTTTCATTTTACATATCTAAACTGTTAAACCTACCGAAGCCTGATCGAAAAGGGCAGGTCAGTGCACTGGATGTGACAAACATGGCTCATTTGGAACTGGTGGAGCCATTCACTGTGTCAAAAATGCCTTTTTGTACCTGATGGTTGAACTGGTCTCATTCGGCTGAGCGAATTCTGATTATTGTTTGCTCTTTTATTTGAAAACAAATATAAAATGTGCATTTTATCAAAAATCAATCACTTGTTTTTGGATGTTGGTGAGTACGTAAATTGGTCAGACGTTGGTCAAACGCAGGGACGTAAATTGGCAGATATTTGGGGGGGGGTGAAGGGCTCAAAATTTCCGACCGACAAAGGTTAATTTTGTATGAGGGCCTAAACTTTTATAGTTTTTTTCCAACATAACCTTATAAATTGTCTCGTAAATAATTATTCAGCTGTATGATAAAGTTTCTAGATTTCGTAAATTTGGAAGAACGAGCATAAAGACTGTTAGCTTAATTAGTGCATCAAAACATACGTAGTCCAAAAATCAGTTAATTTTTCTCCTTCTACGACTTGCCCATTGCTCCACTATCTTATCTAAATTTACGTTGTCCAAAATGTCTTTCTCGCAAGTAAGAATCATGAGGTCGTTTAGTCTTTCACAGGGGCGGCGCCAAGAAATTCAAAGTGGGGGGGGGGAGGCTCCAGTTGATAGAACCTTTAGACTAAAGAACCATTTTTTGAAAAACGCACAAAAATGCTCCACGATATTTAATGCCTATTGTTTTATGGGGCACTCATTATGCTAGCGGTACGTTTGAAGCTGCCGGCGGGAGGTTGGCGGAGGCCTTACGGATATTTAAAAGAAGTGGCTTCCCTGCGAGCGAAGCTAGCAGGAAATTTTCACGACCACGTTTTATAGATTAGCTTAAAATACATTTCAGAATACTTCTTGCAGGTATTTTCTTGCAATCGTTTAAAACATTTTGTTATTTTTGAAGCATGGTCTTATTACGTTTGATTAATTCCAGTCTTAAAATTGAATTCATTATCTTATGAGGCCCCATAGACCTCGGCGTATTCCTTGGAAATTAAGCAACTAAAGGATTTGTCGGATTATTCTTTCCTTTATTCTTTTTCCTCTACACTTTTTATTTGCTTAAAAATACATTTTTGCAAAAAAGTGGGGGGGGGACAGGAACCCCCAGCTCTCCTCCTGGCGCCGCCTATGTTTCATCGGTCGATCATGAACGGAGAAAGCTCTTGACAAGTCATCGGAAATGCACTACTAAGCATAACTGTTAAATATTATTTAAAAAAATCCTATTTCGTATCCCGTTTTTAGAAGCAATTTGATGGAATGATTATCACACTATCCCCATTACCACGAATGTAGTTGAAAATATTTGCATTTTCATACCCAACTTCGCTTTTTCGGTATTGCGTCGCCTTTCATTCTTTTTAGGAGTGCCTTTTACCAAACAACTATTTTCTTTTGAACTTCTACCTTTCTTATGCTTCTTTTTGAGCTACAGTTTACTTTTACAAGGTCATTTGAATCAAAACTTCAATTTTCACAAATGATTCAAATTTTTTCTAATTTTTTCAAACTACAAATCCTTCTAACTTTTGTTATTTTTTTCAAACTAAAAGTTCCCGGATCAATTAAAAAATGTCGTTCTACCTCTTTCAAAGCGTTCTAATTTTTCTGAAATGCTGGTCCAGTCCGTCGTTTAGATATCGCCTTCCCACCAACTTTTTCCAGGCACATGTTCTACTGGGATCAAGTTTGCAGACCAACAGGACTAAGAAGGTAACCTAGTTAGAAGAACTGCCAGGGAAGAACTCTCTAGGGTATCCGCGTCTGGCATGCAAAGCCCACAAGAATATATATGCCAGAACACAGGATTTGATACCTAGCGCAATCAAACATTCTCTGAACGATTTTTAGCAGCAGAGGCCCATGCCCATTCCCGGTAGGCCTAGACCCGGCTGGTCGTGTATCTGAATGACAGACTGGGCCGACAGAACGACATTTTTCATGATCCGGGAACTTTCAGGTTGAAAAAAAATAACAAAAGATAGAATCACAAACACAGAAATAACATTTGATGTGTATGTGAACGTAAAAAAGCGTAAGTATAAAAAGGCGTCAATATGATCATACAAAGTTAAATAATTTTCTGCAGTGATTTTATTGTTGTGGCTTTGCCAAAGCTGCTTTGGTTATGATGGCACTTGAATTGTAAAGAAACTTCGAATAAGAAATGCATGATCGATGGTATTCTTTGACAATGGAAAACTTTTCATCCAGCCTGCTACTACCATATCACTGCAATAGAACAGAATTATCTAATAATAGAAATCTTGATATTTCAGGGATCACAGTCGTGTCATACTTCCTCACTGAACTGACCAAAGAAAAGAGAAGTCTATGGGACCAAATTCAAGAGAAAGTTGATCTCAAAATTGGCAAGAAACTTGCGGCATACCACGTCGATCGACTGAAGGCCGAGGTTTTTAGAGTTCTCGAGTCTCGTTTTCAAGAATCAAATAATTTTGGACCAGCTGACTTGAAGACCGTCTTGGACAAGCGACACCTTGTTTTCCCACACAACTGGCCAACCCTTGGCTGGTCGTATGAGCTGGCTTTGGGGATATTGTACTGGATGCCATTTATGATTGCAGGATATCAGCAAATGATCAAAGAAAACAAACAACAAAAGTTAGTAAGCAATTCTCTTGGATGTAAAGCTAGAAATACTGAAAGGGCATAACTCTCTTGAGATGATGTGCTGCAAGTGTCTTTCCTCGGCACGATGCTTCTCAACTTTCATCTTTATTGCTGAATGAAAGAGTTATTTCGTTGAGTTTAAGTGCTGGAAAAGTGTTTTTCTCCTTTGAACATTTCTAAAGATGCAAAATCAGGCAGGAAGCATCGTTGCAAATAGTCACTTTGATAAAGCATGCTAGTATAACAACATGCTAGTATAATACAACAATCATAACAGCCTTTTTCAAAAGCCAACAATTTCTTTTCTTGGGCCTTTAAAGCTATTGACCCATACCCTTTCATTTACAGCTGTGCCTTGGCAAATGAAATGGCAAGAGCACGGGCAAATATCATAACCTCTATGAAAGAAATGATGCGAAAACGGTACCAGCAGTTGCATGGGACCAAATATTCCTCTGATCGAGTGAATTATCCCTGCAAGAAGAAAAAGGCACACAAATCAAGGAAGGGCTTGAAGAGGAAAAGACTAGGGTTGAAGAATCGAGGCTTACTTTTTCCTAATGATAGAAGTGACGAGTGCGTCTCTATTGACCGATTGTTGACATGGGACGATGGCCTAGACGGCAAAAAATTCACCATTAGGAAACGAAACACGGGCTGGGTTGGTGACAATTGGACAACAAAAATCAACAAAGTCAGGGATGATACTGTTGAGTTTCTCTGGAAAGAGGTAAATAATTCTTGATCGAGAAGACCACATCTCTTCAGCTAATGATTATTTATTCCATGAAAATACCGTTTATTTGTTGCATCTCGTATAGAAAAATGAAAGTAGCAAACAAACTTCTTAACTTGATTCGCTAAATTTTATGTGCGTTCGACCGGGGATTTAAGTTCCTTCAAATTAAACAAATGTTTTGGATAATACTGGTGTTTATTTAAAAACTTTTGCTAGCATAGACTCTGATGCCTATTAGAAGTTTTTGCAAGAATCAAACTGAGATAACTTGGGATAGCTTTTTCAGAAATGTTCTGTTTAAAACTTGCCATTATCATTATTTTTCAACGTGTTTTTTGTCATTATTGCGACAATCTACAGTATGATTGTCATGCTGTCTTTATGTTGATGACTTTTTTCAGTTGGTGAAGTTTTTAGGTATAAACATTAAGTAATCAAAATCTAAATAATCGAGGTTACAAAACCAAGGGAATCCACACTGCTTTTATTCATTATTATCAAAGCACTGTCCACAGGGTTCATTTTGCTTCTGATTGTCTTTCATCTAAGGTAATACGATTAGCCTGGTATACAGTGACTTTCATTTAACTTAGTGCAATGCCTGAATGCAAAGTAATTTGCTTGCCACTTAAATTCAGCACGAGGGGCACCGTTGCAAGTTCCAAATGTTTTTTACAGCTCACTTAGATTCATCTATTAGCTCTTAGAAGTGCGTTTTCAGCAAAAATATAGCTTCATGCCCAAATAATATTTAATCAATTTAATTTGAAAGAATAGAATCAAAGCTATTTAGTCACAAAAGATGATGAATGAACTTAGACAAACTTTTTGTGGACCATGTTTTTGTGGACTAATTTTTTGTAGATCAACGTTTCTGTGGACTTTTTTTGGACCAACTTTTTAGACCCTTTTGACTCAGAGCCCGAGGAGATTTGCCTCCATCCCCCTTTCGGCACAAATTACAGAGATGCGATGCTTTGGAGGGCTTAAAAATCTTTATCATTATCAAGAAGCTTCAGTTTCTAGTTTTGTTTGATTTGTACCAGAGAAGAATAATTTACATCATCTCAACATTTGTTGAATCCCTACACGCTCCGGGCCCTTACACGTCTCTTTTATGAGAACACTTGGCTCCAGTTTCAGCCTGGCATTTCTTATTTTTTTTTCGCATAAGTCCAGCTTCATGTGTTTTCTACTTTGTTCTTATTTTTGTAATCGAATTTCCTTTGCGAAGTAGTGTCCAGACATCATATATGCCTCTGTTAAGGATTTTACACTTCTAACTGCAGTTTTATTTTCAGCAAAGAAAAACGATTTGATATAACGACGTCAATTTCGGTGAGGTTTCTATTGTAACAGTTCTTTCGATGTTATTTTGCGTGTCGCTTTCTGTTGTTCTGTTGCTATACTTTCACTTTTCAATTATTGCTGGCGTTTCATCTTTTGAGTTTTGTTGAAATTCAGCACGCCTCGTTTTTTATGTTGTTCCTATTTTTGGGAGAAATCTCAGCCTGGTGTTCTTAACAGGAATGTTCTTACAAAAAACGTGTAATGAACTAGGAAGACCCGGAAAGAAGGAGACTAAATTGCCACAAAAGTCGCTTTTGCGTTGTCAACAATCGTTAAATCAACTGTGCAAATCAATGTAAATCATTTGAATAATCGTAAAATCATTCAATGAATTTATTGACTGCTGTGTTGCAAATTCTTCGTAACATGCATGTCCTTATTGAAAAAGAAAATCTATAAGTTTTTCGTGGATTTATCTTAGAAGAGAGGTTTTCTAAAAAATCAGTCAAAAGTGGTACAGGGCTGAGATCTGAGTCCAATTGTTTTGAGGATTTGTGTTGATCTCTTCGCTCAGAAAGATTCATGTATGGAATTAACAGATGATAAATTTTCTACTGTATTGATTTTTCAATGAGTTAGCAAAAGAAACAAAGAAAGAGGCAAGTTTTATCACCAGTAATGCTTTCATTCAATTATTTAATCAATTATTGTGTTTCGCTTGACTTTTGCTTTGGCAAAACATTTGGATATGTGATAGGTGACACAGTGACAGGCATGCAGTCGTTCAGGTCTGGCTTTGTGCAATAGCTCCACTGGTCAGGGTTGCGATTGATGTAGCACCATTCGTAACTGTACCCAAAGTCATCACAGGGGTGCATGCACGTCCCATCTGCACCATCAGCCATGCAGGCGCTTGGAAAGCTAAAGGAAATTTCACTCTTCTTGATTTTGGTTGGGCAACTGCAGCCTAGAGATTCTAGGCAGATTTCAGAATCGAAGAATTTGTTGACTTTTTCCACCACCTTGAAGACAACAGTTCACTGATGAAAATGGTGCACAAGAAAGACTATTTCTACAACGGCTTGAGCAATGAGGCAGCCGTTTTAAGACACTTTTCACTCTAGATCTTAAAAGCCAAAAAAACTTTAGAATTGCTTTGTGATCACAAGAATCGTTTAAAAATCTTTGACGTAGACTGAAAGGACTTAAAGACAAAAACCACACTACTTCTTGCTGAAGTGAAAAAGTTAAGAAGTTTGTTTGCTACTTTCATTCTTCTATACGAGATGCAACAAATAAACGGTATTTTGTCGAATAGATAATCATTAGCTGAAGAGACCTGGCCTTCTCGATCAAGAATTATTTACCTCTTTCCAGAGAAACTCAACAGTATCATCCCTGACTTTGTTGATTTTTGTTGTCCAACTGTCACCAACCCAGCCCGTGTTTCGTTTCCTAATGGTGAATTTTTTGCCGTCTAGGCCATCGTCCCATGTCAACAATCGGTCAATAGAGACGCACTCGTCACTTCTATCATTTGGAAAAAGTAAGCCTCGATTCTTCAACCCGAGTCTTTGCCTCTTCAAGCCCTTCCTTGATTTGTGTGCCTTTTTCTTCTTGCAGGGATAATTCACTCGATCAGAGGAATATTTGGTCCCATGCAACTGCTGGTACCGTTTTCGCATCATTTCTTTCACAGAGGTTATGATATTTGCCCGTGCTCTTGCCATTTCATTTGCCAAAGCACAGCTGTTGATAATAAAATTAGTAATTTAGATAAAAAGGAAATGCAAGAAAAAGGAAGCGGAGAATCAAGCATAAATTTCAAATACTTTTTTTCGGGATTTGAGGCCATGAAGTCTGTTTCCTGCCTCTAAAATTTAAACTCACTTAAAATCAAACAAAACTTCAACTAGAACTGAGCCATGTAGTAATACAGCTTATCCTAAACACTATCCAGGTGAAGTTTTTGAAGAATGCACCTCTTGCGTTTTTTACAAAAGGAAAGGACTTGGAAAAACTTTTAACAGCAAAATCTAAAGCATCATTCCCAGATTCGATGTTTGTGGCATAATATGAGAATACAATCAACCCATTACATTGCCCGTGTAGAACATTCTTTCGATAAAATCATAAAATGTGCTGGATAACATGTGCTCAAGGTATTAGGTACAATTAAGAATTAAATCAATAAGCTCTTACTTTGGCTGTTTGTTTTCTTTGATCATTTGCTGATATCCTGCAATCATAAATGGCATCCAGTACAATATCCCCAAAGGCAGCTCATACGACCAGCCAAGGGTTGGCCAGTTGTGTGGGAAAACAATGTGTCGCTTGTCTAAGACGGTCTTCAAGTCTGCTGGTCCAAAATTATTAGATTCTTGAAAACGAGACTCAAGAACTCTAAAAACCTCGGCCTTCAGTCGATCGACGTGGTATGCCGCAAGTTTCTCGCCAATTTTGAGATCAACTTTCTCTTGAATTTGGTCCCATAGACTTCTTTTTTCTTTGGTCAGTTCAGTGAGGAAGTATGACACGACTGTGATCCCTGAAATATCAAGATTTCTATTATTAGATAATTCTGTTCTATTGCAGTGATGTGGTAGTAGCAGGCTGGATGAAAAGTTTTCCATTGTCAAAGAATACCATCGATCACGCATTTCTTATTCGAAGTTTCTTCACAATTCAAGTGCCATCATAACCAAAGCAGCTTTGGCAAAGCCACAACAATAAATCACTGCAGAAAATTATTTAAACTTTGTATGTTCATATTCACGCCTTTTTATACTTACGCTTTTTTACGTTCACATACACATCAAATGTTATTTCTGTGTTTGTGATTCTAACTTTTGTTATTTTCTTTCAAACTAAAAGTTCCCGGATCATGAAAAATGCCGTTCTGTTGGTCCAGTCTGTCATTCAGATACACGACCAGCCGGGTCTAGGCCTACCGGGAATGGGCATGGGCCTCTGCTGCTAAAAATCGTTCAGAGAATGTTTGGTTGCGCTAGGTATCAAATCCTGTGTTCTGGCATATATATTCCTGTGGGCTTTGCATGCCAGACGCGGATACCCTAGAAAGTTCTTTCCTGCCAATTCTTCTAACTCGGTTACCTTCTTCGTCCTGTTGGTCTGCCAACTTTATCCCAGTAGAACATGTGCCTGGAAAAAGTTGGTGGGAAGGCCATATCTAAATGACGGACTGGACCAGCATTCAGAAAAGGTAGAACGCTTTGAAAGAGGTAGAACGACATTTTTTAATTGATCTGGGAACTTTAAGTTTGAAAAAAATAACAAAAGTTAGAATCACAAGCACAGAAAAAACTTTGATGTGTATGAGAATGTAAAAAAGCGTAAGTATAAAAAAGCGTGAATATTAAAAAGCGTGAACATGAATGAAAAAAGTGTGAATGTTAATAGAATAATTTTACACGAAGAAAAAACAACCATAGCTGTGGAACAAGCCACAAAGAGTTTGTAAATTGATTTTATCATTAACACAGGCGATATTCATTATGCTTGGAATTTTAATGTAAATCTCACTTGAGTTGTTGCAACATGCACAAAGCCAGATTTTTTATGGATGTCGTCTCTTTTTAAGAATTCTCGAATCGCTGATACTTCATTCTGTGCTAGCCCTAAGTGAATTCACGTATGTTGGCAGATTATGCCGGCAAGCTTCTCTGGCCATTTCTTTGTTGCTCAAAATATTATACAAGAGATGCCTACACATTGTCCTTTGGACTTAACATTTGTATTTCAAAGGGATTTAATTGCAATTTTATTTGTTTCTTGGTGTCCTTTATCTCTTAT